GGGAGGAGGAGGAAGAGGAGAAGGAGGATCGAGCACGGGAAAATATTCAACGAGGTTAGCGGTCGGTCAAGCTATTAAACGAAGCTCCGGTTTAAGGACAATTCAATTTAGCGGGCGGATTTAAATAAAAGAGAGAGAGAGAGAGAAAGAGAGAAAGAGAATGGGAGGAACTGCAATTACCTCGCACGGACAGCTGAACAGCATACATCATTTTGGGCTCGGTGTTCACCTGGCATTCGTACTTGCCCGAATCCGTCTTCCTCGCGTTGTCCAGCCTGAGCGTCCACGCGTCGCTACCCGGTGTGTGCAGAGGTCCGAATCTCGCGTCCGAGCTGAACAGGGTGTTTCCTGACGTGAGAATGTGAAGGTCCCTGCTTCTCATCCAGGACACCTGAAACAAGGCCAGCCAGCACGTTGAAATTACATCCTGATGGAATTACCGTCGCATTAAACGACGGAATTGCCTCGAGGATGATTCTTAATTACTTTGCGCCAGGAACATTTAAAAGGATTTATAAAATGATTTAAAATCAACTTCGAGCTGGTTTCGAAAATTATTATAAATTCATTTCTCTTTCTCTCTCTCTCTCTCTTTCTCTCGGCTTTTTCTTTCGTCAAAGAATTCATTTTCAAAAATACTTTTTTAATTGTTTTCGTTCGTAAGTACAATTTCAATGGAAACGCGACAAATTACGCGAGAATTTGTCAACGCGACGACGCGTCATTTGGGGTGGTTCGACGGGGTAAGCGGGTACGAGCGCGGTCTCTAAGCCCTTTTAAAACGGTAGCCCGAAGGAATGCACACTCGCGCTCGCGTAAATCAGCGCTCTCTTACGACTTATTTCCTTGCCGCCTAGCTACTTCACACCCGTGTTACGAGCGACGTAATACATAACATAGTAACGTGTTACGACGTCGTTACCTTATGGCCGAGATAAAGGATAGGGACTGTTAAAAGAAAGTTGGGAACGAAAGGGGTGCGAAGGGGGTGCGATATAAGGAGGAATTTAATGGAGCGACGCGTGAAAATTTCTTTCGTTTTGAAGGGGAGAAAGGAGTGGAAAGTTGGAATACATCCTCGTAACAAATTGTGTCCTTGTATCAAAGAGGATTGCCGCGATTATCAAGTTTATGCGCGTATAATTTTATTAACCTCGTCCTGTTTTTAACTATTTTTATCGTGGCCAGCGACAATAACTCGGGAGGTAATTCAAACGCCAGTCCAACTTAATATACGATACGATTACTCTTTTCTTGCCGGTGGGAATAAAATGGCGATTTTCTTGTCGCTGGAAAAGTACCATTAATAAAACGCAGCAATGAACCGGTCCGGCGGTTCTCTGTTCCACGGCCACCTTTGACATATCTTATTGCTCCGGGCTAAATAATTAATCCTCAACCCCTTTCCACTCCACACATACACAATTCTGGTTGGGGAGGAAGGGGGCGAGTAATGGAAGTTTACTGATTACTCGGTTCAAATTCACGAGTTTCCTCGACTCGCGAACTATTTCCTACGCTTTCATCAATTCTTATGATGAGTTTTCTTTCTACCATCGAATGCATACAGGACGAACAATTTCATCATTTATTGCCAAACGAGGATCTCGTTCTTCGTTTCCTTCCCCTTCTTTTCCAAAAATTGAAAGACTTCGATTTAATCGTCGAATCGTTAAAAAGAAAGAAAAGAACTAGACTAATTGACAAACAACAAACAATTCCTTAATAACAATGTATCCCATTGAAGCAAGACAACGACGTTTCAAAAAAAAAAAAAAAAAAAAAAAAAGAAATAGAAGGAATGTAGAAGAGCAGAGGTCTATGTAATTCCTTCTGATTATCCATTCTCTTTCGAAAGTCTGTCTCGTTCGTCTTGTTATGAGCAAAAGTTTGCAAAAGCGACCCTCTTGCTCGAGTGGCGGGCGTAACACCGGGAGGATGCTCGAGAAAGGGATGCGCCGCGCTTTTCCCCGTCGCGATTAATATTTTCTCGCGATCTTGAAGAGATGGAAGAACCATTTTGAAGAACGAACCGATGGGGAGCGAAGGACAACGACGACGTTGACGTCGAATATGGTCACTGAACACCGCCCTTATCCGATGCTCGTATTTTTCAACGTTCGACCCGTTCGCAAACGGGTGGGATATTAGATATCCGGTTATCGGGTTGCAGTCATTTCCGATCTGCATCCAGAGTTACCATTTTATCGATCGTTACACGAGAGA